AATTGATCACCCAGAACTTCTGGGGACAAGCAGGTCCACTGGTTAATTGTTCTCATTGTCAGAAAGTTTCTCCTTAGTTTTAGGTTGTTTCTCTCTTTGTTCAGTTTCCATCCATTGCTTCTTGTTGGCCTCCTCGTGCTTTGGAAAATACATTTCCCCCCCGCTTCCTTTGTGGCAGCCCCTTAAAAGCCTGTTGCCTATATCACAATAGGGGCTATTTCTGGAGTTTCATTGATCTTATTATCAAATAAGGTTATCCCATCCTCCCCTCTAAAATAATAGTAATAATAATAAAAACCATCATGCTAGGATCCAAAGGCTATCAAAAAAATTTAGGATGTAAATTGAGACAATTTTATAGCATGGTACTGGTAATGTAGTGCATAAAGCAAGGGCATTAGTTAAAAGCTATTGTGCATTGAAAGATAGAAGGCATTTATATTACTTCTATATAGCACTGATTCACATTTCATTCAAACTGAATTCCTGACTATGGTTGTGATCTTGAAACAGAATGCTGAGTAAATTCTAAAGCAGATTGTGTAGAATCTAAAGCAATGTCAATAATTCTGTCCTATACTGAATGCCTTTAGAAATATACATTAATTACCAGGTATGTGTTATATATTACAAGAGTTGCAAAGGAAATCATCATATTACAAGAGTTGCAAAGGGACATCCATCCTCAGCGTGAATGCCACAGATCAGGAATGTCCATTTTGTTTTAAGTCAATAAAAATGATAACTATACAGACAAAAAACCCTTGCTGAACCATTCTATAAAATTTTAGTGAAAATAAATCACCTAGAAAGAAAGTTCAAAATTGCAACTTTGGATATAAGAAACATGTGTGCCTTTGATTTAATGCAATCTCTCATGTACCCACATACACATACAGTAAAACTCTGAATGTTTCTATTGTTTTAATGTTTCTTCATTTTTATAAGTGATATACATTTGAAAAATAATTCATATATATAATAGTTATTCCTGTCTTGCCCTAAATTTTGGGTGTACATTTCACATTACTCGTATATGATTTGATGATAGCAACCCTGATATAGAAAAGAGTTAGAAGAAAACTTCTAACTTTGGGGCCTCTAAATACTGTATATTTAATCTATGACTCCCAGCTTAAGCTATCCTACACAGGAATTCTACAAATTATAACTATTTCATCTGGAGAATGTTAGGTTAGAGATGGATATGTAGGATACAGATTTTTAACATACAATATAGGAACACCTTAAAGAACTTTGAGTAGAAATAGAAAAGTCTTCCAAGAATGAATTCAATCTAAAAAAAAAAAAAGTGAGTGAGAGAAGCACATTATGCTTTTTTATATTGGATGAATTAAAACTTGTTTTATAAAGACCAGTCGATACTGTATTAATATCTATAATTTAAAGATTAATATAAATAGCAATAATATAGAAATTGATGACCATCTATTAGCTATTCCATAAGAAATATGTTGAAGAAAAAAGTTTTCACTCTATACTCCAGAGCCTCCAACAAGCAACTGATTTATTCCAAGGGGAAAAAAAAAACTCCTGGAGCAGCATTTTACTTTAAATATTCCATTTTACTATAATACTTAACTAGAAGTAAGAGTTATTACAGATAACACTGTGATTTAAGTTCAATTTCCAAGTAATTTTATTTAAATATATATAATGTATTTGCATTACAGAGGAAAATTGAATAAGTACTGTATCAACTATGCAATTTAATAAAAGCATTCATAAAATAAATATACACTTCAGTGTATAGCGTATACCTAGGAAGCTACAAATCATTGTTTTGCATTGGTTTTCACTCTTAATTACTTATTAGAAAAAAAAGCAGACTGTACTAAAGCTACCCCAATAAAGTATCATTTGGCTAATTTCTTAGAGATGATTTACATCCTGATTTTTAGATATTGATTTTGTATTTATCATCTCACAAATGTTTATTTAAAGAAAGAGAAAGGTATATATCATAGTTAGTTGTAGGATATTGGGGAAACTGGAGACTGGAGAAGGAATCAAAATGTCTTGCTCTGCAATCATTTGTCTATCTTTCTGCATAAAATGAGATATATTCAAAACTCCATAAAGTTGCACATTAAGTCTAATTTCAAATATACCTGGACCATATTATACAAATTCCTCTAAAGTCTGATCGCTCCAAATTGATCAATAAACTATATTACTGCATAGTCCATTATGGATACATATAGATCTTAACAGCACATAGTAACCTGGGCTGAAAATTAATATTAATTAGTATTAATGAGTTTCTTTCCATCGTTCTCAGAAAAGGATCCATACGGCCCTTTTTCTGTGTTCAAAGAACAGTTTGTGTAGTTCTCCTAGCCTTTGGCTCATAGTAGCCTCAGAACATTAATGGATAGATGTTATTTGTTCTCCAGAATATAATAAAAAATGGAAAGGAATAAAATCCGCTCTTGCACACCCAAGACCTTATAAATATAAGTAACAGCACATACCTTTTGTGATCTCAGCTGGAGAGGTTTAGAGCAATCAGCATGAACTTACCTGTTCTGATCCATGAGGAGGCAGTATCTCACAATAAACATTTCTGAATCAAAAGTATGAAGATCATAGCTACCCAACCAATGGCAGTTCAGAGTTACTTATAAACAACAAAAATGAGCAAGCCTTTCTTCAGAACCACCACTTTGACAAAATCATCATAAGAAGAGGATGGCTCTCAAAAGTTTCTCTTTCTAAAACTTTATCTGTGTTTTCTTTCCCTTTAACTTCTTTGCAAATCAGGCACACTTGCAAATTTCCTACACGGTTCTTACATACAGAGCACATGTGTATGCTGTGCATACTTATTTTAAACAACAGAAATGGTCCTTTTAATCAGCTTTTAAATTTCAATTTACCCTCTGGATGTCATTTCTAGCAATTTATTCCTGAACATTAAGGAAAATCTCACACTAGGCTCAGAGGCTGGTTTGCTGAAACCTTGAAGTTAATTTTATTTATAAGTGGCCATCTAAAATGGGTGCAAAAGTATGGGTGCAACAGTATTTTATTAACTTCAGGAACAATATAATATAATAATATGCTGTTAAAAGCTCTCCAGTGCAGATGACTTAAATGCAGCTTTATATTGTATTACTTATACACTGGTTGTCTTATCATGTTTTTTTTTTTTTTTTTTTGGGGGGGGGGGATCAGAGAAACACATACATATTGGAAAGGTATTAATGAATTATTGTTCCATAAAATAAATCATATCAAAATTTGATTCTATTCTATTAAAGAATTCTAAGGGGATATGACAGTGAGAAGCAGAAAATATAGCACATGCCACGAACCTAGTTAATAAATACCTACAGGCCATATTCCCATTTTTACATTTATTTCTAACAGTAAAGTTACTTTAACATTAACATTTTTCACCTATCTTTATTAAAAACTAAAATTTGCTTTAGCATCTTATATCATGAACATCTATAGTCATAATTTTCATACTGAAACATTATGGAAATGTTTCCTTATAGTGATATTTAGATACACTTTAAGCTACTAATTTGAGCTATTGTAAAAACAGAAGATAAACATTTCCAAACGTTACCTTTCATTTAACACAAACCCTATCTTGCAAGCAGAACACACATGAAATTCTTGACCTTTTTTCACACATTTCTTTCTTTGGAGGAAAACGGGAGGGTAGAAAGGGATATTTAACCTTTCCAAAGTCCAATATTTTTACTTAGTAAACATCATCCTTGACAATAACTTTTAAACCTCTAATGGGCAAGGCTGGATTATCTGAGGAACCAGTTCTTTACTGCAAACTTATATAGTCCTTAGTATCTAAAGAAAATGTGCAAAAGTGTGTATTTGTATCCAGCACCCAAGCTGTCTGTTGTATGATTCCTACTGCCTCTGCATTTAGAAAAATCTCAAAAAAAATGTATCCTTTTCATCAGGCTTCTAATAATTATTTTTAATTTATGATTTAAAACTTCTTAAATTCCATATACTATACTCCCTTGATTACTAGAAATTAAGAGTAAAATGTATGAAAGTGAGCTTACTTCTTTTTTTAAATTTGTAACAGCATCAGACTATTTTCTAGGCAATTCAACAGCCTATTTTGAACTTAAAACAATTGTTATAATTTCAAATATGGTGGTTCAAGCCCAAAGGATATTGAATATCTTTGGTATTTTCTATGAACCCAGATCCCATCACTTGCTAACTGATCATTCTATATAGATGGTAAGGACTTAAGCTAGGATCTTTTCTATTCATAGACAGACTGAGCTACAGAGCTTCTTCAATGTATGGTTTTTCCAATCTGAAAAATTATACAGGTTTGAAAAGTTACTCAGGCATAGTGTTCCATATCATGATACAACTTGACAATACATATATGTTATATTATCATCCTACATTTCTAACAATAAAGAAAATCTATTCTCTCATTACATGTCCACAATGGACCATTTCCCAAGTTAAATTCTGATTTAATGTGTCACCTTTTCGAGTAAACTCTTCCTTCGGGTGAGGAAGAATTTAGTTTTTAATGCAATGTATTAATGCATTTTGCAGAACCAGTAAAACTTCCAGATGGCTATTTAAAAAGTTTAGAGCTTTGCATGCATTTAGAAAAGGCTACATGTAAATAAGATTAGAAAAACTTTTAAGAAGCAAATGTACTTCTTAGCAAAGCTCTTATTATTGTCTGGCACATACAGTTCCCTCTGGTTGCTATAAAAAGAACATCAATACCTTTTTTTTAAAAAAAAGTGTTTAAACATGAAAACAGAATGCACCCATACACTTTCATATTAACTCAGAGAAAATGAAAACTCTCAATTTCTCTTATGTAATCCAGTTTCCAAAGCTAATTTCCCAGGAAGTTCACCAGACAAGCCTAACATGAGAATTCATGCAAGCTTGCAGACCAAACACCAAATGGTTCTCAGTTCCCTTGTAAACAATTCAGTTTTTTAAAAGGTGGTACTCACGGTCATTGCACTGATTTCCAGAATATGATGTCATGGAACAATCGCAAGTGAAGCCTTCCCACTGCTGAATACAGATGCCTTGGTTGGCGCAGGAATCTTCTTGGCAGGTGGTGCTTGGTCCTGAAATGGGATAGCAAGAAATGCATGAAAGAAAGAGTAGCTACTAAGAAAGAGACACTATAATGGGTTATGAATTGTTATCTTCATGCAACCCCCTGCCCACCTTCCCCCGAAAAGAAGCTGTATGCTTTTCCATTTCATGGAACATGCCACAGAAATTCAGGACACATAAAGACATGGAGAATTAAGCACTCAGCAACAAACAGGTAACTTGTACACAGCAGAAGGAAGGTATGAAAAGTAGCATATTCCCTCCCTGGCAGGGTCAGGAAAAAAAATGCTTATAATAAGTACTATTTCCTCCAAAAAGGCTAAGAGTTGTCACAGCCTATTCTCCTATTCTCAGTTAAATAACTTGATTCAAAATGATGGGATTGTTATTTCCATGCTGCAGATATATTTTATAGGGAATTTGGTAGAAACATGGGTTGACAATCATTGTCTGTGAGGTGGACATCACTGTGTGTGAATTGGGTAGCTAAATAAATCAGATTAATAAATCAACTCCTACTAAACCTCCCTTCATCCAAAAAGAATTCTGCTGATATTTGGGGTAAAAATTAATAGGACCTGGTGAAATGTCAGCGATTTGTTCCTTTGCTTGTTCCATTTTTCTCCCTTGTAGTAAATTAAATACCATCATAGATGAGAATTTAGCTCTGTAACAATAATTCTGAAAATCTCAGAATCTTTAAAATTGCAGAGGCTTTTAGAAAAATGTCTGTGACGCATGTCTTTTATGCATATACTAAGCTAATTATAGTTCTATTTGGACTTTGCAAGTAAGTACTAACTACCTATTTTATGAGCATTTCATGTACTACTCCAGTGGATTCTTCTATTCTATCCTCTTAAATACTATAGCACAAAGAGTGAGGATTCAAGATGAAGAAGAAATAATTTTGACTTGCTCCATACTGGTGAGATATCTGGATATAATTAATTAGCAGTATCCTATGAGATTCATCTATCAAAAATGTACCTCCTACCCCAATGTGGAATGATTAAAAAATTATAAACACTTTTGCATCTTTAGCAATGCTGTCAAAGCAGAGATAGATTTCTTTGACACAAGGACCAAATGAATAATAAATAGAAAGGTGATCCGAACACATCAATATAGCTACTTTGTCATATTCCCTTCTATCCTGGAAGGAAATCATGCTATTCTAAATCTTGCTGTCACCACAGCATGCTATCTTCATGCATCCACTCAATATTCTAAGGTAATGGTTCTTTTCATGGAAATTTCAGCCGCAACAGTCTTTTACCACATGACAAGATCTCCTCCAGTTTACATGCAGAATGCTCTATTTTATGCCCTGCAATCTACCTACCTACCTCCCTTTCTTTTTTTTGCCACAGATCAACTGTTTGTTTGTTTTAATTTATTAAAACTAGTTGCCAACTAAACAACTGTTTTGTATCAACCGAAAAAACCCTAGATGCTACCAAAAAATTAGAGTTTTTAACATGATTTCTGACTGGCCAACTGGGCTCTAGATCCAATCCACTTTACAGTAAGATGGGCGACATATAAATTTAATAAATAAAGAATAAATAATACAGAACTTTTTTTTCAATTCCAATCGCATGTTTTAAAGCAGTGGCAAGCTAGCCAATGTCGGATTGTACATTCTCTACACTGAAGAGTTGATAGTCAACCAATATAACTATGAATGAGGGGGAAAGTTACTGCAGAAGCCAGGGTTCTCATTCTCCCTCACAGCTAAACTTATTTAGGAAAGGGAGAACAGGTTAGGCAATGCATAATCCTACAAGAAACCAATAAAACCAGCTGGAGCCTCAAGTGTGTCAACATAGTGTGCTGACCACAAGTGTGTCAGCATTACAGTCCACATCCTCTAAGCTTTACATTGAATTTAGAATAACTTTATTGTCACTTTGAATGTACACTAATCGGCATATATTAAAATGAAATTTTGTTGCATACAACTTTCAAAGGGTCACCACATGATGACACATAGCATTTGGAAGTGAGATCAGAATACCTATTCTTATAAGAATGTAACAGAAGTCTGCAACAAAGGGTTGCAGAAGAAAGTCTACAACAAAGAATTGCTGAAGAGGTCTGCAACAAGGACTGGATCAGGTCTAAAGCAATAGCTCAGTGATCTTCTTTTAGGAGGTTCTCAGTACTTTTTGGACTGATTTACAAACAGACCCTCAACACTGCGACTTATATTAAATCCTTCATTGTCTTTCATTCTGATTTGTAAAATATGCTCCTCAACAGGCTCTAAATGTGGCATCTGTGGCTGATATTGCAGAAAGTGAACTGCTGCATTCGGTATAAGTTATATACATGCATATTTTTAAACAAGAGACAGCTCTTTAAATGCATTTCTACCTCGGTCTTCTTTAAAGCTTAATGCAAGTAATTCACTATTTCAAATTATTTAAAAGAAAATTAGGTATGAACAAAAAGAGTAAGATGATTTAATTACATATCACATAATATTTGGGAACCTCTAAAGTGTATCCACTGGAACTTTACCTCAGGAAGTGGAACTATGATTTAATAAAAACATTGACACTGGATCATTCCTTACTTTCTGAAAGTAGAATGGGCAGTTAAATGAAGTAGATGCTCCTATATTAAATCCAGTTATTTACAAATTGTTCTGGATTTTGTTATGTCTAGTTTGCATACCATTTAGTTATTTGTGGAAACAAGAGTATAATTGAACTCTACATTACAAATTTCGTTAGTATTAGGTGTGAGAGTGGAGATGAGCAATACTTGGCCTCCCATAAATTTTTAGGCTGTAACTTACATCATCTATCACGATGACAAATTGGAGTTCAATGGAGCACTAGTAAAAATTGAACCCAAAGATGCTTTCACTTATATAGCCTACTTATAAGCTTCCAAGAGTTACCTCGTTCAGAATATTAAATGGGTCTGACCCATCATAGGATATATATGATCTCAGGTTCTACAAGGAAACTTATTTTCCCCATGTTTCATTGTGATTCACTTTTAGAATCTGTTAGGTAAAAATGGAGCAAATTATTTGTTTTGTAAAAATTTCCTGGAAGTCTAAATCAACTTCCCTTTTAAGCATCTCTCTACAAATTTTCACAAATCTCCAAAGTGCCATCCCTTGTTTGCAACAAGAAAA